CTTCTAAATCCTTGTTTATACTTATGTGGAGATTTTTCCGAACTTCAACACCTCATATCTCTTAATCCGACCGTCCAAACAAACTCAAATTTTACATGAGGTATTGATGTATTTTTATTAACTTCTACAACAATTTTCAATTGCAAATTCATTGCAGATCTTGAGATATCTTGAAATCCCTAACAGTCGCTTCAAACCCTTGTCTTTATACATCCGTGTGCAAGTTTCTTCATATCTCACAAAATATAAGCTCAAATGCCACGAAATTTGTATATATAGCTTTTTAACACAAAATTTTACATTCTCCAAAAAGTTTGAGCCAAAAATTCGTCCGAAAACTCAAGTTATGGCTCCAACTATTACTACAAATAAACCCGCTTACTTACTGCTTTTGATTTGAAAGCGTCGCTTTCAACTCCTTACAACTCCTTCATATAAACTCCAAAAGCAATAATTCTTTCATGAAAGATGTAGGCCTTGAAATCGCCGTTCCAATCGCACCTTCCGATCTTCAAAAGCTGCTATAAAACTCCTCGTACTCTCAAAAGAGTAACAGTATGTCTTAAATAAACACCTTAACTTCAAACGGTTATAACTTTTTCATCCTAACTCCAAATCCTCTAATTTTTGTACACAAATTGTTCTCCAAATCCTAAAATTTACAACCCTAGCTTCTAATCTCCGAATTCCCCCGAAAGAGGAACCCTAATCCCTAATAAGGCCTCGGGCAGCCTCCTCAAAGCCCATTGGGCATGGTATTCGACCAATAGGGAGGAAGTTCTCCATTCCTTGCCTTCATCCGACCATGCCTTACTTTCATCCCTCCCAATTAGCCTCCTACTAGTTTAGATTTTCATCCTTAGGTTTCCACCTTCTCCCAAGGCTTCATACTAAACATTTAGGTCCTAAATATATATATATATATATATATATAAATATTTTAATATCAAAATCAAAAGAAGTAAAGAAACAAAGTAAAGTTTCTTATACCAACTCCTTTTAATTTAATCTACTAGCCACTCTAACACACATCTAGATTTATCAACATATAACATGTTTTAGCTAATTTTTACATACTATAAGCATTTACAATACAACAACGGTTAGAATCTGGAGAATCAGAGAAAAGTATATAGGAGTTGTAGAAGTTAATTAAGGTGCCAGACTGTGATAGTCATGACCCGAGTGCCATCGTTGTCATAGTGTGTGTCGAGGTAAGCTTGGTGCTACCTCTTTTCTTTTGTTTGTTATTTTCTTTGAATAAGAGGATTGAGAATTTCTGAATATTGTGAAGTGAATTATGGAATGGAAATATGATTGGTATTATTTAAATAGAAGAAAGATTGAATGCTGAAATCTGATTGTAGTTCAATAGAGAGAATGTGTCTGTGTTTAAGTGAAACACCGTAATGGGAATGGTAGTTCTGTGTGAAGAATTCAGTGATTGCAATGAGGATAATTGTGTACTGAAAGCTGTGAAGGCACAGTATTACAGTTGGAGATTATGAGGGTGAATATATTGGTGGAAATAGCAGTTATTGGTATGACTAAATTACTGTAAGGAAGAGACTGATAAGGTGAAGGAGGAGATTATAGTTTCCTTGTGTGTTCAGATATTGAAAATAGAGACGATACATTCAAGAGGTAATTGATTGTGTGACCCTAACATGAACGCTTAAGCAACTAGTCATTCTCCGTGTTTGAATCCCCCTATAGGGGTTTATTTCCATTAGATTAATTTGGAATAAGTAAAATGAGCAATCACACCACTCATTATACAAATCCTCTCAATCAGATTCATTAAAAGACAAATAGAGTTCTAATTTGGTTGCAAACATAATCATAAAGATGGAATATTTTTTTTCACTAAGGCATAATAACCTTTATAGGATCATTACTATACAAAAAAACCATTGTAGTCTTTTAATATAAGATTAAGTATAATTACTTTATGCACAATATTAGCATCTTAATTGTTTAAAATATTCTAAGAATATATTGAGTTTATGCTAATTAGATTTCAATTGATTTTTTTTATACTTTAAAATTATACATTAATAGTCAAGCTTGGTAGTTATTACTAGGTCTTTTATGATTATTTTTATTTCAAAAAAATTATTATAATTATTGATTTATTTAAAATATGGTTTTTTCTTTTATTAGATTAAATAATAAGATTAAAAAAAATTCAACCATTAAAATTTTCATATTTAGAAGACATATTCATAAAAAAAAAAAAACAAAACAAAACAAAAACAAAAACAAAAACAAATATACAATAAGATATTTATATCTTTTATAATTATTTTACCAAATATTAATTCTTTTATAAAATATTAAGTATTTTTTTCATCCAAATTGGTCAAAAAACTCTTATTTATTTATATATATATCAAAAAAATCATGTAATTATAACTTAATGACCACATTCTCTAATAGAATTAAATTTTAATTAATGGTTTATAATATTACAAGTCTAAAATGTATTAATTGTATTTCAAAAATATAGACTTGTACAATGACATTTGATCAATCAATAGACCTAATGAGGTCATATTGCATTGATTCTAATAACAAAATATCACCTCTTAGATGTTAAATTATATATTTTAGTTATACAAAGCAATCCTTTAGGTTTCTTTGTAATAAATTTCTTTCTATAGTTTTTTCCTTTTATACACTTCTTTTAAAGGTAGAGCCAAATCTCTCAAACAAAATTTTTGATATAAAAATAATTAATTCTTATAAATTTAAAAATAAAATAAAAAAATGTGATATTATTGTAATTATATCACATAGGAAGTTGTAGAACTATGTCTTTTATATATCTATAATATGAATTAATTGCTTTGTTTATGTGCATATATAAGTCTCTAAAGTTTTTACTTAACCTTTCAATATATGAAATAAACTCAACATTATAACAAAAGTGTTTGTTTAGTGTTGTTTAATTGCAAAATTTATCCAATAGTTGTTTTTCGAACCATAATTTAGCATGGTCTTCTAAAGTTACTAGAAATAAACATAATTAATGGAACTCCATTTTTACATTGTTTGTATTGCAGACCATAAAAACAATTGTGTATATGTCTATTAGAATTATTATTAATGCAGATTATATATGTTAATAACTTAACCAAAAAATAAGATTGATAATTTTTGTTACTTATTTGTAAAACCACCAAAATATGAGCTATGGTAAAACCTTACTTCTTAGAAGGTTTTGAGCTCTTCAAGCCTTCTTTTTTTTTCAAAAATTTAATTTTTTATAAATAAGAATTAAGCAAGGATCATCTTTGGTATAATAGAAAATTATTCTTCTAATCTACTTAGATGAAGTTTATTTTATAAATTCTTGTATATTTGGTATTATTGATTACAAGTATAATAATCTATAGACTTGTTCATTTCTTAGTCAGGTTGTATTACTACTCATAATTCATTATTAAATAATATTTTTTATGATATTACATCTCCAATAGCAACATCAAATATAAATTTAGTTTTTTATAAATATAAAATAAAACTAATTTGAAATAAATTTTAAATACAAAAAAAATAAATTTCCAATGGAAGGTATTGCGATGGTATTTTTTAAATAACATCATGCAAATTAACTTTTATAAACCTTCTTTAAAATCTTTTATATACTTTTTGTTATGTGAGTTATTCAATTGAATATCTATTCACTTTTTGTGTCCATATTACATAGTTTGTTATTCTCTTGGATAGCACAACAACAATGTCTTAAACCAATTGGTATGTCATTTTTGTTAGTTTACTAAATTACTAAAGACAAATTGCATATATTCTTCTCTTGCTACTTTTGCCACCATCTACATTCTTTTGTTCACTTTAATTCTTAATCAATCAATAATACTCTTAGCCTATTGATAACAAACACAAAACAACAAAATGACTAATTATCCTTAATAAAATAAAAGTAATTAAATTTTACATCAATAATACTAATAATTCTAAAAAAAAAAAAAAAAAAAATAGAATAGTAAAAAAAGTTAATAATATTAATGAAGCAATAAAATAAATAAATAAATAAAATCACAACATTTGTGATATAAAAATCTAATTGGATGAACTCTCAAAAGCTACTTGCTTTGTTTATGTTATACCTATTAGTGCTCATCCCGATATCAATTATAACCAATCGGTAATAATTTTTTGTTAAGTCTCTTGTAATAAGCTAATTTGTTTTTTTATATTATTTACTAACAATAATATTCTTATTAGTTTAGTAAGAAAAAAATTAGTTTTTGCAATTTTCTAACATATATAGGTTGTCTACAAACATATATAGGTTGTCTGCAATTTTCTAACATATATAGGTTGTTTTCAAATCTCAAAAATTCAAGTTGTCCATATGGTTGATATTAAATTTTTATATATAATTACTTCTAAAAATAAAATATTTTTTAAATGCTTGTAAAAACTTAATGTTATTTTTAAAAAATCAACTTGATATGTGGTTGCTGATGAGCATTGTATGGGGCCACAAATTTTGATGTTGGCATTGAATCATCATGCTCTTAGATAAGTTCTTGTACTAATTTTTTAGCCTTGGCTTGTTGTATTTGAAAAATTCTAGCAATAATTATCCTTAACTATAAAAGTAAAGTCACTAAAAACCTTTGATTAAAATTAATTAAAAAAAAAAGGATTAGAAGACATAATGGTTACAAGACCTTGTGTAATAAAGCAGTTAAATGGAAAAGAAATTCACCCCACGATTGAGAAAATATATTTTCTTGTCAATTTTAATTCAAGATGACAATCCATCTTCATTGAAAATTACAAATAATTGGTTGAAAAGTTAAATATTCATATTTTTAAAGCTAGATTGCTGTAAAGTCATCTTGAGAATGTTTTACTCACTAAAAACCAAAACAACGCAATTGTTTTAGCACATAACAGTACTTCTTACGACTGCTTTGAAAATTTCCAAAGCGGCAAAATATTCAATCTCCATAAGATGACAAAAGAAATTCTTGCTCAGCTTTAAAATAACTTACTCACAAAAAAGACTCATCATCCCAATTTGTTAACTCTCAAAATTCTTTACTTGAAAATAGAGGTTCCAAACTACAAATCACTCTAACCTCTCAATTTTTAAACTACAAAAAAATATTTGAACTTCGAAACTTGTAAAGCTTAGCTTGAGAATAACAAGCGTAATCCATATCACGTCCTTCCTGGTTTCAAAACGTTCACTTCGAAAAAGACCTTAACTAGGAGCTCTAAGATTTCCATATCTAAAGACACCAGACCAGAACGATTTAAAAATAAGAAAAGCACGTGCCTTGGCCAAATGTCTCCAGCCCTATTTTGATGTTTGTATGATGTTCCAAGCCTTTATGAATGGATCGAGCCAGAATCATAGACGTAGTCTGCACATCAACTTCCAAAGTCATGAGTTGCATCGTTCAGGATAACATTGTCCAGCACTCTAAAGTAGTATTCTGCAAATCCCATACATAGTGCAGTATTCGTAAATTGCACAATCGTCATGTCAATCAATAAATTTCTGGTATCTAAAATGAAGCCCATAACATGTAAGAAGAATCAAGGACATGCGTAGCAGATTGAATTCTACCTTATAGCCATGTTGGCGAAACACCTTCTTGTCAAAATCCAACTTGTATTAGTAACCTGTGCAGACAATAAATGCAAACTTAGGTGTCTAAATTCTAAACCTATTCTGCACTCAAGGCAGACACACCTTTTCAGAGACAGCAGACAACTATCAAAGCAGAGACCAAAGAAAAGAACTAATAATAATAACAATAATAGTAGTAGTAATAAAATAAACCGAAATTTTAAAATATTAGATTTTAAATATTTTGATGAACATGCAGAATAAGAGTGGCATTTTGAAAATAAGCATGTGTAAAGAAAGCTTCTGCATGTGCAAAATATGCTATATAAAGCAAGTGATATCAAAACGGACATTCGAACTGCAAGGCAAGCGTAGCATACCCTAGGTCTCGCTGCTAATAAATTTACTCGTGTTCCTTTGTAAGGGGAAAAAAGGCTCCGCAACCTTTCGGCTCCGATCACATTAGAAGAGCGGAAGTTAATATAGTACGACCTGCAGGCTAATCGCAACTTAGAACACTCTGCAAAATCGAAAATCCCGTAAGTTTTTCTTTCCCTATCTCGTCGCCAGCATCCATCACCCAAGGTTGCTGCCTCAGCCGCTACCATTCTATCGCGCGCCTCTATTCGGTCAAATGAGCTCACAAACTTTGATTCTGCAAGAGGTTTAATGCATGACACGTTAGCAATATCATAAACACTAAAGCATCTACAATTGCTTGACAACAAACACAAGAGAAGACACTACGATGAGTTGAAAAATATTTGAGTACACACTGATAATGATGCTATTAAAGATGCTGATAAAGATCGCCAATGACAATCTTCAACTCTATTCAAGCCGGAAAATTGTCATACCTGGTAGAAGCACAGCTTCATTTGCTAGCTGATCAGCTGCAGAATTTAACTCCTGTACAGAGCAGAAGGTATTTGCAAATCAATTTACAAATGAATGAATACATAATAAGACACTAGAGACGTGACCGAAGTTCAGAACTAACCGTAACTACATTGTACTAAGAATCTCAAACGAATAGCCCACGTGACGATATCGAAAGATAATTTGTTTTTTTCTTTTTCTTTCTTTCTTTTCTTTTTTTTCTGTTAGGCCTTACAAATTTGAACATATTTGTGACAATAATATCAGCAAATGCAAGTCACGAAGTTGAACAATAGATTAATAGCTGATTCATAGGACGACAAAGTAAATGTAGGGGAACTTCAGAGTAAGTAGAACCTACTCTATCAACATGTTGTATGGAAAATTCTGAGAAATGTTGAATCAAGCTCTGAGCCTCCTTACACAAGGTGGCAAGTGTGGGTTGGTTTACCTTCCATCTACCCAAGACCTGCGCCACATATAAACATCACAAATCGAAAATACATGTGTACGAACAGTGTTAAGGATATATCTTTCCAACATAAGCAATGCATTAATTTAGCAAACGATGTTCACTTCCGTTACTATAACAGCAGAAGAAATCGCACAAGGACAACAAAAAGGAGTTAATACTACCGGTTCCACATCCACCGCTTACGCTGGAAAACAAACGAAGTACCATAGAATAGCATTTATATGCAAATCCTAGAAACAAACCTAGAAAGATAAGTCTGGAAGGTTTAGAACATACTTGTTCACAGACAAGTTTAGAATCTCCTTGAACCCTCACACGATAGATTCCTCTATCAAGCGCTCCCTTCAAGCCTAATATGAACGCTCGATACTCTGCTACATTGTTGGTCGCAGACCCAATTCCTTCTCTAAGCTCACACACCTATGGTACACACCGAGACAATGCAACCAAATATTTTCTATTCAGGAACTCGTGATGTCTGTGTCCAACATAGATTCATGCTCAACTCAGTACCTTGCCCAGCAGCAACTGTCACTTCATAGAAAACACCAAACTGGCACAGTGGATTAGAAATACGAACAAATGATGATAAACCAACGACCCATGAATATCCGGGAACATCAATATCCCTTCTAAAGAAAGAACGTACCACAGATCCATCAGGACGGCGCACCAAAGCCCCAGCGCCAGCCGGACCTGGATTTTTTTTTGAAGCGCCATCGTATTCAACTTGATAGACATCACCCTGTCAGAAACAAGAAAATCTTAACAGTACTGCGGACTCCAGCATGTACACATATACTCGTCTTCAAAGTACAAATAGCACATACACTTCGTGCCACTACGATACTTTAACCCAAGCTCTTCAGCATTGTTATGCAAAAGTCTACAAATTCTACAATAGACTACCTACGCCTTACAAAACCTCCGTAAAACCCAGCGACGGTGAAGTAGTCTCATCATACCAAAGCTACGTAAGGTGTGTCTCATTCATACTGAAAATCTATTCCAGCAATGGATGCTGATTAGGGACCAGTAAACTCACTGCTTGGTCTTTCGGCACGACTTTCATATCTAAAACCTGTCAAACAAATTATTAACAGTTAGAAAAAGGATCAGATTTAGGTGGATGAAAGACGCCATTCCCATCATTCACCACAATCAACCCTACTGATCCTACCTCACTCTACGCTCTTCTTATTATGACTCTATGCACAGGAAATTCAAATTTTCAGGTGATACGAGAAATAAATGTTCGAACATGCAGGACCTCAGCTGTTGAAGTCGGTTGAGTTAGCTTAGGTAGGTGGGACCGACTGCGCTTGACCTTCACCAATTTGGGAGACTTCGCTTTTTTTGACAATGGTTTTGACATTGCCGAAACGCCACGCAAGTACTGCTCTGCTTCAGCTCGAGAACTAAAGCTCTTGAATTGATTCCCAATGTATCCATGCACCTGATGACTCAACACAAGTTTTTGATCAGTAAACATAGCCACATCTGTCCATGATTTCAGTCCTCGCTATCGCCATTATATTAGACCGTTCCATTCGAACAGAGGCAAAAGCGCCTCTCAGATGGCATACCCTTGCGCCCATTTATTTGGACGACTGAACCATAACAGCTATTGATTTCTACAGTAAAAATGACAGCCTAATTAGCTTTAAATTATGTAAGCCGTTCACAATTCTAACACAGTCTGGCCCAATCTGCGTGACACTGCATAGATTATCAACTTCACTCTGCATAAAATGCATGAGCTGAGTTAGGGGCTTGAACCCAGGGAATGCGTGAATTAGCGTGTGCTTCTCACACTCTTCCTAACTTCCGCGCATCACTTAAATTCAAATCTCCTGATACAGAGGCTGCAAGGTATTCACATACACGCGTCGAAATTACACTAGGTTAACCTCTACACGCCCCGCTCGAAGCTCCATGAAAACGCAATCAAGATAGAGTTAACCAATAACCTTCACAGTTCTACATCATTGATTTAGGGCATTCACACTTCATAACAATCCCTCGAGGCTTATTTCTCAGAAAGCAAACACACCAGTCAATACTAACACGCATTTCCCCAAATCCAATACCAATTTTCAAGTGCCAGATTTCAATCCTCAGAAAAATCTCGCGTACATGATGTGTGACGCGCCGAAAGAATCACGGATTCCTCCTCAATCCAAAAATAACCAGGACAAGCCAAAGCTCAAAACCACAAACAAGACTAGACCTGATGACTGCAATCCTTCCAAGTGGTGTAGATTCCAGGGTTGCGCCCCTTCCTCACAGCGTAGTATTTGGGTCTAGTCGCCATCTGGGATACCTTCGCCTTCGCTCCCGGCATTCACTGAAATGAATGGTAGCTACAAGGCAAGAAGATGTTGATGCCAGAACATTAAGGAGGCACCGCTGGACGCAATATGTCCAAGGTCCATGGATTCTACTGCGCCTGCGAGGGACTGGCAAGGGGATCCACATCTGGATGAATGAAAGAGAGAAAGAGGCACATAAATACCCGTGAGTTTTGGCTGGAGTCAGGGTGTCAAGCAGGGTATCGGTCGTCGTGAAGCATTTCGGCGGGGTGTCCTTGTTGGGATTTTGAGAGGAAGGTTCCGGCTCATGACCTCTACGATTTTGTGATTGTTGACAAAAACCAATTTTTTTATATATAATAATATTTAAACAAGTATTGGGTGTACTCATAGCAATGACTCGTCACGAATTATGTTGTTTCAAAAATATTAATAAAAAAAAAATTAAAAGGATGTTCATTATTCTTTTTACAATATCTTTTCAATCCCCTAAACTAAATAAATTAACACTTCTCTTACAGAACTATAAAACTTGAACAGGATGCTCTTGAAATTTAATGTTAAATCAAGATTATTTAATCAATTTTATTTAATATTATTTAATAATAAATCAATATTATTTAAATTGTATTACGTTTTGGATATTGGATTTGAATTCTAATAGTTCATTCATGACCTATTTTAACAATAATATGACCATGGCTTCTTTTTTATCTAAAATTTATAGAAATCTTTTCTTTTAATTCTTTAATGTAGTTGATTTTCTAGCAACTTTTGACTTCTCTAAGTTTTGAGTCTTAATCTATTAGAAATTAAAAATGAATAATTTTGTTACCTTAAAATATTAAAAAAAATTAAATGATTATTTTCAGAAAAGAGTTAAAAAGTAAACAGTTATTTTTTCAAATATGTTGATTTTTATGAAACATTACAAGTTTATTTTATTTCTACCAAATTCATTGGTTAAATTTAATTAAGAAATTTTTTTACTTGCAAATAATTTATAATTTGGCCAAGTTGATAATGAGACCTAAAGGTAGGCTAATATTATATAAAATATTAATAATATTAGTGACTATCTCTTAATTTCTTTGAATTATAGTCATTGAGTCAATTGCATGTTAAGTGAATATTTGTAATGCCTCACTATCTAAATGTCTAATTTCTCTCATGTTAATATTTTTTTTGGTGCTACTTAAATTATACCTTTCATAACATCCAATAAAATACATAATAAGTGTCATATTAAAAGATAATAATCTCCCATTTTATATTATATAAGAAAATTTGATGTTTGATGTTCTATTGATATATACAAAGGTTGTTTTCTATACAAATTATATTTTTACCAATATTCTAAAATTAGACAAGAAACCCAATTTTTCTATAATTTAAAAAATAAAAAAATAAAAATATTGTGATGTTTTTTCATATGCCTTTGAAAAATTAGTTTTAACAATCAAATAAATTATTTAGATATTTCTATCCTAATTAATAAATTTAAGAATATTATTAAATAAACATACATAAATATTTAAAAAGTATTAAAAGAATATTAATATAAATATGGATTATGATCTGTGTTACAATATTTTTACAAAAACATATTCTAAGTAAACCTCACAAATCATAACAACTAACCTGTATCATTACTATTTTAAAAGGTCTTCAAAACAAGACTTCTACATTATTTAAAAGAATAAAAAAGAAAAATAAAACCTGATTAAATGCTACTGCTTATATTATATTATTTAATATATATTTAACCAAACTATTATTTATATGTTTTTAAATAATAAAATATAATATATAATTTTATTTTCTTTACTAATATTCTAAATTAATAGTAATAGATATATATTATATTTATTTTTAAACCTTTTTTGATTCATGTGTGTCTTCTAATTTCATTCTTTAATTCTAAAATTTGTAAATATAATTTTATTTTTACTCTTTAAAACTAAAAATACACATATTTTAAATTCTCTAATCTATTTGTCTTGTATTAAGATATAATCCTAATTTTCTTTTTCTCTGTCAATTATCCCATTGTATTAGATTTTATTAGAAACATTTTTAAAACATTTTGGCAAAAAGCTTGGATAGTTTTCTTGTACTTAAGATTTTATTTTAATAACTTCTATTTTAACTTGAGCAAGTCTAGTGTTTTGGATTTCCTAATCTTTGCAATATCATCTATACCTTTAAATAAATTCTACAAGTAGAAATGAAATGGCATCCTTAGCACACATTAACTTAATCACCTCTAATTTTATTCAAATCAAGTTAATTTGTCTTCTTTTTCTTTAACAAGTGATGTTCTAGAAAAAAAGAATTGTCTGCTTGATATTTTGTCATACCTCAATTACTGCATAATATCCATAAAATCTCATCTATTAATACAATTCATCACATTAGTCCAAAGTTGGATGTGTTTGTAGTAGTTGTTTAGTGCAAAAACTACAGCCACTTCAAATTATCTCTTAAAATACTTTTAAAAGGCAGTCTATAAGACTTAATGATTTTTTTAAATTAATCTAATTTTCTATTGTTAGGTTTCTTGTTATCAAACTTTGTCTTCTTATTTAGTAGTTGTTCTACATCAAGATTAAAGGTCCTTGTATTTTAGGGCACGAAGTCATTCCACCAGATTATAGGTTCATAGTTATCTAAGAAAGAAAAAATCTGTAGTCATCAAAGTTTAACATACTTGTTCTTAAAAAAATCAAGAAACCAAAAATTACAATTAAAAAAGTAAAAAAAAAGTTTATTTTTGGTACAAAATCTATTAGTATTTTTATTTTTGCAAAAAAAATTAACAGTTGCAAATTTTTTTATTTTTTATTTTTTATTTTTTTTGTATCTTTTTTCTATTATATAAGAAAATATGGGAAAGGTTGTTGGAGCTTGGAACTACTTATATATACAAATTTGTTTTTGTTTTTTTTTTTTTTTTTGTATATACAACTCTGCCCCCCCCCCTTTTTTTTTTCTTTTTTTTTTTTAATCAAAATAAGTAGAAAAGTGTCTCAACTGGTAATACTGTTTTACTTTTGAGAATTATCAAATTATATGTATGGAAATGTATGTGGATGTTAGTTACTCATTTTATATTGAAGTCATGCACTGTATTTATTTTGCAAATGATTTCTTTGTGGGATTGTAATATATATATATATATATATATATATATATATATGTTTTTCATATATACTAATATTAATTAATATTATTACTAGATATTTAGTGCCTTTTTTGTAGCAAATATTGTTTGTATATAGTTGATCAACCATTCAATTAATCAATATAATAATGCTTTCAATACCAAATTAACTATGCAATACCAAACCTAGAACCGTTTAACAAGCAATATCATTGTAACCAATTTTAGCAATTTGTCAGAGACGGATATTTATGCAATCTTATTTAGTATTTATTTGATTTTTTTTGTTTATTAAAAGACACTTTGTTACAACATCATATATTGAATGCAACCAAATTACACATATGTTTCCACCTAGAAAAGAGGAATATATCAATAAGAAAAAGAATAAGGAAAACCCAATGCTTCTTACTTTTAAAAGTTGATTAAAACATACCAAAGTTTTAAAGTTATATTTTGTGCCACGTAGGAGGGAAGCAAATCCAGGTGGAACCCTAAGAGGAAGAAGCCCACGCTTCTGCCGAGTTTGCAGAAATCCAATCAACTTGCGAGTGGCAATCCTGAGTCATGGGGGAGGACGAGCAGCCTGGACGATGGATCCCTTAATCAGTAGACTTCGCCGAAGCCGCGACCTTCGAGGCCCCCACAGCCCTGTTCTTGCCACACACGCTCCATTATATACTTCCACCCTCTTCAATTCCTTCCTGCGCTTCATAACTATGCCACTCCCCTTCTTGTGCACCGCTCCGGGGACGTGCTGCCCGTCTTTGAATCTGTGAGGAGGATCCTGATTCTTGGCGGTGTTCTGTGTCAGGGTGGAGAGTTTTTTTATTTCTCCTCTGCATTCGTGAACGCTTGTGATTACATTGGGAAGTGATGCGGAGGTCTTCGACGAGGAGAACATGGGTGCTCCTCCACCCCGCCACTGGCGTTGCTGGTGCTGGTGAGTGGTTGCCCTTGAATATTTTTTTGTGAATTGTGTAGCTCTGCGCACAATTGATGGCACAGGACGACGTAATGACGAGGATGCGACTCGGGGATAGGATTTGATGAGTTAGTTTCTAGGTCGTTTGCATCGTGGGTGGTGTCGCCTCTGATATATTACAGTGTTCAGTCTTAGAAGTCGTGATGGAGTTTCGCATCTGGCTAGTTGTTCCTTGTTTATTTTATTTTTTTATTTAGTTTTTCCTTCCCTTCCTTGGACTGCCATGTGAAGATTTTGCCATGCGCGATTCGTTGAATTTCGAAGCTGCTTCTCATGTGTTTTACTTCCGCAAGGTGTTCTTGAATATTGTTGATCTGTCTTGCCGAGGCACTGGTAGAGACACTTGGATGCTCCTTCCATTTGTGAGCTCTGTATAGCGTAAATCAAGTTTTTTTTTTTCGTTTCTCTGGTTCGAATCTGCTGTCCGAACACGCTGGTAGTAACGAGAATGGCGCGTCGTTTTTCATGAAGTGCAATTTGTGCCATCTAGTGATCCTCACTAAAGTATACCAATCTATATTAGGGCACGTAGAAGTCGTTACCGTCGATCACTTGTAGAGGCCAACAATTCACATGGTTCGAATTCCAGTTGCATTAACTTATATCTTACGCATTAAATCTGCAGGTGTTTAATTCACTTTATGTTCCTTGCAGTTCGATCTTGTTGGAATGTATTATCTGAAGTAACTAACACTTCGAGATTCTGTGACCCCTGGCCTTCCACTTGAGGTGGATAGCCTAGCTTTGACTTGTAGTGTTATATATTCCTGGCAATTTCGTTCAGAGGAAGACGGCTAACGGTTGTAAAGATCCGAATGTTTAGGTGAAATTTGACAATAAAAAAACTGCGAGGTCACAATTGTTTGTAAAAGCTTCTCCTGGGCTCTCAACAGACTCATTTTGTACTAAATAAAGGGGACATGGTAGCAAATTTTATTTTCGTGGCCTAAAATTGGTTGGAAATGTCATGTGATGTTTGTGTTCGAGCAGCAACAGTAAACAAAGCCACTGCCAAAGAACAAGAGAAAATTGATGGTTTCTTCAATCAGTATGCTGATAAGGCCGAAGACCATTGTATAGGGTGAGTGGGCGTTTATTCCTGTCTTCACGTGCACTTCATATTTTCTCTTTATCGATTTTCTTAAAAACTTTGCTGCCTTCCCTCGTACTTATTGCAACATTGTCATCACTAAGCCGACTTCTGGAATTGCCGTATTTGTTAATTGCATATGCGGTCAATGTCTATAGGATGAGCATGTCGAACCAGGGGATAATAAAATTCTTGTGTAGGCCTGAAGGTATTGAAGCATTGTGTGAAGACCTTGGAGTTCCTCCTACAGATGTACGAATTCTGCTTCTGGCATGGTATGCACTTCTAATTATTTTCATTTGAATTTGTCGTAACTGTATGGTCTGTAAACTCATGCTTTTAGAGAACTGTGTGCTTTTCCTAAGCGGAAGTTGCATTCTTTGACCTAATTTTTTTTTACAAGTAGCTGACGTTTTTAATGTAATTGCAGGAAGTTGCAGGCTGCTCGGCAGGGATATTTCTCATTGGTAAGAATTAAAACATGTTACTACCTGTTGCATAACCTTCAGTAGGCAGACTCGGTGCTGTTACCGCATGTCCCCAGGTGCAAAGAGTGCATTTCTAGGTATTTCTTGGAAAATAAAATTTTACTTGCAGATTAGTTACTGCCATACTCATGGTATCTCTACAGGAAGAATGGAGGAAAGGATTGAAGTCGATGCGAGTAGATAGTCTCGACAAGCTGAGGAAAGCTCTTCCATCTCTGCAACAAGAGGTGCAGAACTTTTCAGGATGTAGATAATTCTTTTCGCTGTTCAAGTTTGTGTAACATATCGAGTACAAAGCATGCCGTAATTTTAAAACGATTTAGAACCGTGTTGTGACTGTCTTCGTGCCGGTTCGGATATTTATCGTTCTTCGGGACTTGCTTCTAAGAAAGTTGTCAGTGTTCTTGATTGTGAGGGCTGTTTACAGATGGTGAGTCCGTATAATTTTAAAGACTTCTACACGTTTTCTTTCAAGTACTGCCTAACAGGTAAATTCTTGTGTACAAAGTATTCACTATGTTTTGTTGTAGTACTTATACTTCGGAAATAATCTTTTCTGCTTAAAATCTCGAACTCATTATGTGAATTCCAATGTTCAGCAATCGATGGAATGTTGACAATGAGTTTTTAACTGCTGGCTTGTGCGAATTTCCTGGGGTGGTGTAAACAGCCCTCACAATCAAGAACACTGACAACATTCTCATCATGAGCAAGGATTGATGCCTTGCGTCTTCTTCTAAATTGTTTCATTCGATCTCTCTACAGAACCTCGTCAGAAAACATTGGATTTGGAAACGGCTTGTCAGATGTTGAGTTTGGTATTGGGTTCTCGGCCACATGTGGCATCTTTTCTTCGGTTTTTGCAGGTACGTAATGTGATTGACTGGGTATGACTGAGTTGACAGGGTTATCACTGAGGACATATTTCTGAAAGCACTAGTTATGGAGAGGAAGTGTGGTGTATCTTTGAAATAACGAAAAGGTTAATTGCATGTCTATTATTACATTACCTCTGAGTTTTCTCTGTTTATTGTGAATATATCATTGTTTCTGAACTCATATTTGCTACGAATGCATCCAGGAACAATCTGAATACAAGGCTATGAACTTGGATCAGTGGTCTGCTTTCCTTCGATTCTGTGATGAGGTATGAAAATTGAGAATATAAGCCCATTAGTGTGCACGAAATCAGATCTATGATGTTTTGTATGCTCTGCGCTACTTATCTTGATCATTTCTCCTCAACGCTTTTTATGAGCAGATTAAGCCCGACCTCAGAAACTACGACGAAAGTCAAGCATGGCCTTTGCTTTTGGATAATTACGTGGAATGGGCTAAGAAGGGCATGGTAACCAAGTCATGATATCTACTTTTTACTCGATTTAGAGCATCTCAATTGCTTCATACTCGAGGACCAAGAGGGGTCTGGTGCTAGAGGACTTATGGCCAACATGAGAACCTGACCCTTGCTCGTAGTAATAGAATCGTCTATCATGATCATTGTACCTCTAGAAACCCACAATCTTGCTCCCAATAGCTTTATCTTTTCTCACTGAAAAAAAGAGCAGTGCAAGCTTTGATATAATCTAGTGCCACATTTTGATTTTTGATCACTAGTCATGGGAGAGGCTCACGTCGAATTCCATTTATGGTCCTTTCTGCTGCTCATTGCGGATATAAATTTAGATTTTTACAATGATGTTAGGGATATGAGGCTCTAAGTCCGTTGACTGTATGCACACACGAGTATGACATGTCCCAGAATAAGAATCTAATCCATCACATCGTTATGCCCCGGCTTTTAAATAATTGAAACTAAAACAGATCAGAGTTCACGCCACTGGGTGCCAAAAGCAACATGTCTCTACGTACTTTGATACAAAGTCCATTAGGTTCGATACTCGGCAATGCAAAAGTTAGCATGGACCCTCCTGTCGGTGATTTCGTTCGTCTGCCAACTGGTTTCTGCACAATGCCTGACAAAACAGAACAACTTGCGTTCACCTACGTAACCGTTGACCAACTCGGTCCCTTCTATGATATTAAGGCAGAGGCTAACTTCAGTTTGACTCCAAAAACCAGGAATTGCGAAGAGAACATAGCCAGCGGCAGTTGGAGAACTGGCGTAAGTGCTGGCACGCGTCCAGCTCCTGGTGACGGGGTTGTTAAAATCCGAGAAACATAATCAAGGTATTCCGGTAAAATAACACATCATACGCATACTCACACGTGATGCGAGCATGCACCTAAACAAGACAGTACAAAGTTGAATGCGACTGCCACTTAAGAGCGTAGTCACCAATGAACCATGAGCCGGATCCCACAAATAACTGATCCTAAGACCATTTCAGAAAACTAACTGCCGCCATCAACCTGAAATGGTGACCACTACTTCCAACGCCTCCAACATGAACTCGTCCAAGGATACCACACTCAGGTATTCCAACCCCTAAATGTCAGATCCCATCCGTCCACTCGTGACAATCACCCATCCACCAGTCCACCTCCTCACCCGAGATCCCGACTATTGATACATTCCTCCCAATCTCCATGTATGGCAACACGCTGCTCCCATGCCCATCCGTACAGACCACACTCCAACGGAGCACCTGTAAAACTTGGACTCCACACCACAGCCACCATACAACACCACTTCCTCCCCGCTCTGCGCTTCGCAACCACGCGTTCCCAGCGCCGCCCCATCCACAGTCCACGTTGACCTATCTCAAATGCACCAGAACCAGGCTTCCATTCACGTCCCAACCCCCCGAAATGAACCACACCGATGAACCTTCTGAACACACATACACCTCCATTGAAGCCTCCCGAATACAACCCAAGCCAAACCGCACATCACCACTTGACCCAGACCACCACCAACACGCTCGACTTCCGGCGAAACGTCCCACTCCATTATGCGGACGGACGCTCCCTTTCTACTCACCCCGCCACTAAACACCCCGAAAAGCTCCAAGCATTGTAAACAAAACACACAACATCCTTCCAGGAAACGACGTCCGTGCTGCTCAAAAACCTTGGTTCACAGAAAAGAGCACCACATCGTCGATCGCGTGCGATGACGCTTGTTCATTCATTTCTCACTCCCTCGGGGCTGTAGTTTGCTTACTTTCAGTCCCGTGTCAGCTACAGCACATTCCGCTCAAGTCCCCTCACACTTCGGCTGCTGAAACGATCGCGGGAACGACGCCCGCTTGCTTTCAGATCTCGATGTGAAAGCTGAATATCAAATCCCGCAAAATTTACAACTATTTCTCTTTGAAAAGAAATAATGAAACAATAAAAATAAAAATAAAAAGAAACTCCCGACGACCTTCCTGATCCCCGGCAATGCCTGCGCCAACAGCAACCGCCTGCATCGCCAAGTCATGTCACTAGTCCTCCCATGCGTCGTCTGCTGCACCTTCGCCCTTCTTCGGATCCGCCGCGGCAGAAAGCATGTGCTTGTACTTGTCGTCCACACGAACCGTCGTTGCACCGATTTGGGCTACTCCCAAAGGAGCCACCCTCCCCTCCCTGAACGCCGCTGCTTGCTCCCTCTCTTTCCTCCTCGCGGCTTTGCCCGTCGCGAACGCCATGGCGTTCCCGGATTCCGCCTCCGTGATTGCCCTTCGGATTTGGGCTACCAGGAACATGTCTCGCTCCGTGTAAAACGACGTTGCTCGTCCCGAAGCCCCTGCACGACCTGTTCTCCCAATCCGGTGAACGTAATCCTCCATGGTCTTCGGCAGGTCCAAGTTGATCACGTGCGCCACACCTGCCACCCAGGTTTCCCACATTCGTTACAGCGCGCACAAACCCGTGCCTTACATCCGCCAACGTCCGCACCAATTCTGCTCCAGTGCAGGTTGCCCACCCAGTCCAACAAAAATCTCACCATGCGAAAATGCGGACCAAACGACCACGGCATCCAGACACATACACACAAGACTGCACCCCCGCCACGACATCCGTGCTCACAACTAGTCCGACACCAGACCGTGCAAACCACAACAACCCTAACTTCGAAACTCCTCGCTCATGGCCGCCCCACCAAATCCGACTGCTGCTGGCCCCTATCCTATTCTGCACTTGCACCCCCTCTCCGCGAAATTCCACCCACTCTTCACTGGCATGCCCAGGAACACCATCCTCTGACCACCGCGAACTAACGTTGCTCTCGACCCACTCCACATCTCAACAACAACAACAACACCAACCCATTTACCTGTCACGTCCAACCCTCGCGATGCAACATCCGTCGCCACCAGAATGTTCGTGGTGCCCTTCCTGAAATCCCTCAGTGCTGCCTCTCTCTCGCTCTGGCTCCTCCCCCCATGCAGCGCCGTCGCCTTCAGCCCTTGCTCCACCAAAGCGTCCGTCACCTCGTCGCAGCGTGCCTTCCGCTCCACGAATACGATCGTCAAAGGCGGTGGTTGATTGGTGTCCAGCGACTGCGAGTGCTCGTCCACCAGCAGAGCCAGCAAGCTTTCGATCTTCTCCTTCTCCGTGATCTTCTCCAGGTTCTGCGTCACGTTCGCCGTCGGGCTGCTCACCCGACCCACCTTCACCCGGATCGGGTTGTCCAGGTACTCCTGAGCCAAGGCCTCGATCTCCTCCGGCATGGTTGCACTGAACAGTAGCGTTTGGTGCTTCTTCGGAAGGCTTCTCATCACCTCCCTGATCTGAGGCTCGAAACCCATGTCCAGCATCCTGTCCGCCTCGTCCAGCACGACGTACGACACCCTCGACAGCGAACTGTTCCCTTGCTGCAAGTGGTCGATGAATCTGCCGGGGGTGGCCACCACTATCTCCACGCCGGCCCGCAGCTCCGACCTCTGCTCGTAAATGTTGGTCCCTCCCACCACGATCGCCGTCCTGAACCCCTCCGCCGACCGGCAGAACGCCTTCACCTCCTTCTCAATCTGCTGCGCCAGCTCCCTCGTGGGCGCCAACACCAGCGCCAGCGGGCCGTCCCCTCTGCGGATCGGGGGCTGCGCCAGGCAATGCTGGATCATGGGGAGCGAGAACGCGGCCGTCTTCCCCGACCCCGTCTCCGCGCACCCCAGCAAGTCCCTCCCCGACAATGCCACCGGCAGAGCCTGCGCCTGGATGGGCGTCGGCGTCGTATAATTGTGGAACGTCACGTCCTTCATGATGCTCAAATGCAGGCACATGTCCTCGAACGACTCGATGGGAGCCGGCGCCGGCTCCGAGCCGGTCGCAATCTCCACGTCCACATTCAGCCTGGCCCTCACCTCCGCAATCTGCTCTGGCTGCAGCTTCTGCACGCGCTCCGAAGGCTGCCATGTCGCCCACACCACCTCGGGATGCCCCGCTCCTCGCACTCCTCCGCTCCCCTCCTTGCTCCCACCGCTGCTCTCCCGACTCCCCTGCCCATACCCGTTTCCGTAGCTGCTGCCCCCGTTGCCGAACGAAACCTCCGACGATGACCTCCTGGCACCCGCGCTCGCTCCAAAGCTGCCGCCATACGAGTCCCGACCTCCTCCGTCTCTGCGTGCTGCGCCACCGCTCGCCGGTGCTGCTCCTGCTGAGGCGGCTCCCGCCCTCAGATGTGGAGGGACATAGGGCATGGCTACCTACTTCCAATCTCCCTGTCCTGCTCCCCCTGTTGCCTCAAAACCAAATGTATCCAAATTCCTCCTCGCGCAAACCTGAACCTGGACCTCAACGGACCGCTCCCCGTCCAGTACACCTCCTCCCGTTCCTTCCTCCTCAACCATCTACGTTGCCGGCCTCCCCTTCCTTCCCCAATCGCGACGACCGCGCGTGACCTACCCCCCTCCCGTTATCCCCTTCACTGAGCACCACGGCGAAGCAATATGGTGACAATACCATACGTTAGGGTTTGACCGTCCCCCTCCGACACAACTCCAAATGTGGCAAATTTTGTCCCGGAATTGCTCTGTCGGAACACTCGACCTGGTTCCAGTGTGGCGAGGGTGTTAAAGCCGCGACCATCATACAAAAACACCCACTTTGGAAGAAGCGGAGATTGTCGTGCCTCCAGTTGGAATGAACCCGGACATGGGCTTGAGCATGTTTCCAGCTCGTTCTCAGTCCTTCATGCCCGGCGAACGACCTGCGACCAAGCTGAAGAGTGGGATGCACACGTGGATGAAACTCCCAGTCAGCCTCCAACTACGTGTGTGTGCTTGGTTTGTTTTTAGGTTAGGCCAGAAGTAGATCCACCCAGGTTTTTGGCTTTGAAATTGGTAAATATAGGCTGTAACACACCAGGGTACAGTCAATTTTTTGTAAAGGTTATGCCTTGGGAGTACCTTTTTGTTCCTAATAGAGATGTTTAATTGTTGACCTTTAAGGAGGTTATTGTCATATGCACACAATTTATAAAAAAAATACTTGTTTTTCAATAATTCAATTTAAAACATAACCGTTACTAATTTATTGTGGTATATGACAACATTGATGTTACGATTTGTTGAAAATAACAATCAAATATAGATTCTTGTGTTCCATGTAAGACATATGAGTCTAAAATATCTATTTCTTAGCTTAGCAATTTTTTTAACAAACTACTTATATCATTGGCATGTTTTTCTTAACACAAACAAATATTTGCAATATTTCTTGTCACATTTGATTGTGGAATAGATGGTCGTTCAACTTCTAATGTATTTTTTTTTTTTTTTTTTTTTTTGGATCACTAATTTAAAGCAGAATTTGTTTTTCAATTTTTTATTATATCTCCATTATAATTTTTAGAGGCAAGCTTTCCACTACATATAGAAGTGCATTGTAAGCTCACTTGCAATGCCAAAAAGACATCCATATGTCTTGTTTATAGAGTGTGTAACCCCTATTCAAAATAAAGTAGAATGTGTAGTTGACACCACTTTGCTAGTTGACAAGTTGTAGCTACTATTTGTTGGTGGTAATACCATTTAGCCACCGTAGCCTACTAAGTCGTCACATGGCCTAACAAAACGAGTGTCCACATGTTAATTGGACATTGTTGACTAGGCTAGTTGTTTGTATGTTTACACTAAAAAGTCCATGTGGTTAGACTATGGACTTTTGCTATATAAGAAGTAGAAGTAGAGGTTCATTTTAAGCATTTGTTCTCTTGAATCCTTGATAGTAAGGTAGAAAACTCTTTTGTATTTGCTTCATAAAACTTCTATCTTAACAATACACTTCCTCTTTATTTTCTCACATGGTATCAAAGCCTTGGTACTCTAGATTTACTCTTTGATGGATTTAAGTGAATCAGTTGAGGTTGTTTTATAAGACTTAATCTTTTGATCAATTTTGAAGAGGTTTTATTTTTTGCATTAGCTTGAGAAGAGTTGAACTTCTAGTGAGCCTAGAACTCAAGCCACTAATGTTTTTGATAACTCATAAATGAAGCAACGAGGCATTAATTTTGAAGGAGAAAGAACATTTTCAAATTTCACTGCTAGAAGCAATAGGTACTGAGCTTACAGTTGTTGATCTGATCACACCAATAGTAGGATCCACCAATACCAGTAGGACTTGGTAATGGGAACAAAGCTAATACAATCTAAGGAACTCTACTAAGACCAAGAAGCTCTAAATTTGATTTGATTTGATTTTATTTTATTTTAAAGTTTTTAGACTTAGTTATACAAAGAAAGCTCTCAAAATTATAATTTTTGGAATTTTGGATTAGATTTTTATGAGAATGCTAGTGATATAATTTCACGCATTTTAAAAATATTTAATTTTTTTTAGGAATTCTTTAAGATTTTTTTTATTAATATTCAAAAAGTCTATAAGTAAGTGTGAAATCTTATCTAGATCTTATTTCTATTCACCTTCTATTTCTTCTTCCATTTTTCCAATTTCTTCTATTTAGAACATATTTCTTATAAGATGGCAATGGAATATCACATTATAGAGAAATTTGATGGAGACAATTGATACTTGTGGAAGGAAAAAAATTAATTGTCCTCATTGATAAGAATTTATGGAAGATTGTCTATGGAAAATACAAGAAACCTATTAGAACACCTCTAGGTCTTGAAGAGTTAGAAAAAAGGGAGGATATAGACCAGATGTCATGGACATACACATGTAAACTAATAATTACTTATGTGATTTAGATAATAATAGGTAAAAGTATGTCAATTCCATAATATCTTCTATACAAGCTTTCTAGAAGCTTCATAGACATTGTTTTGATTTTATAGATATCTTTAATTGATTTTTTAGGTTAGGAACATGGTCAACAAGTTGGCCATGTGCCACACATGTTAATAGCTTGAAGAATAAGCTAACTATGTGGCCTACATGTAGAAAACTTGTCATATAAGCTAAGGCATGTGTCATGCAAAGTCAACACATATTAGAGGTCCTATAGAACATCGCCACGTAGCTCCTAATTAGATAGTATACATAGAGGCAAGAATGAAGTCTTCTCCACTCTTGTCAATTCTTTTCTTGCTTCTAGTCTAGTTTCAAGAATCTCAAGTTTTCTTGTCTTTTAGCAATAAGCCATTCTAGTTTCTTTTTAATATATGTACTTTCTTATTTTTATATTGTTACTTTTTCTTTGACATTGATTTCATTGATTTATGCATCATCTTTTAGTTCATGTCCTTGACCAATTGACAAGAGTACACTTATAATATCAGAGCTTTGTCTTGTCTTGATTAAAAGTGGATTACTCATTTTTTATGATAAGACATAAGTATATTAGAAGTTGTGGATTACTCTCTTCTAAACTGATATTATTCTTAGTATTTTCTTTGTCCTCAAGCCCTTTCTTCTACTTGTCTTAAGTGATATTAGATATTTTTTTTAGTATTATTATAGCAAAGCTTATTGAAATGAAGAGTGCAATGGCACAAATACAAGAGCAATTGAGGGAGTTGATACTTACAATGCATCAACTTAGCTTACTACTACAAGGATCAACAAGAATAGCAGGAAGTGAGGATATAGAGATGATTAGAACTGCTTCAATATCTGCACCAAATCATGTCCTTTCACCCATGGTAGAACAACTTTCAAGTGTTAGAGAACTAAGAGTTGCCATGCCTGAGAAGTTTGATGGTACAAGATCCAAATTTTGAGGATTTATCAATCAAGTACAACTTGTGATTGAACTTCAACCTCAAAGCTATTCAATTCTAAGATCACAAGTTAGATTCATTGGTACACTTCTTTTAGGTTCAGCACTATCGTGGTTATGTCACGGACATACAACTGAAGAAAGTTCCAGAAGGTTCTAATAGGATCTAAGAAGACTCCAAAATGTTCTAGGAAGTTCTAGAAGGTTCTATTGGATTCTAAGAAGATTTTATAAAGTTCCAATAGATTCTAAGAAAGTTTTAGAAGGTCATAGGAAGGTTCTAAGATGCTTTGGTTGATTTAAGAAGTTGTCAAAGAAGGATCTTAGGCTTGCTTTATTTCTAAGCTTTATGGAAACTTTTCAAGAAGCTTCATAAGACCTAGTATATATAGGAGTCAAGATTGAGGAGATCCTTAGTCTCGACAACTTATTTTAGGTAATCTTGTCAGGACCTTCTTCTCTTATATCTAATTATTGTTCTAATTTTGAGTTAATTTTATTTTTTTTAGTTTTGGATCATTTTTTTTATATGATTTTTAATAATTTTTATCTTTTCTTGAACGACGAGATGCAATATTAGATAATCAAAAATTATTTTTGGTAGAATTACAGTCCATGTGTGGAGAATATGATGTTTCTTGTATTACAATTAATAAGATCCATATTTTCTTTTAAGGCAATTGGTGTGTAACATTATATGCTTTACATTTTGAACAACTTACAACTGTTATCAAGTGGAATGATGTAGCACTTATCAACCAATTTTTTTTATGGATTATAATATGAAATAAATAAATTGATGCTTAATTTATATGATCCTCAAACATTGAGTCAAGCAATTGACTTTGTTGTGAAGTGCGACAATTAACTTTTTAAATTTTGATCTGAGAGTCACATAAATGGGCCTCAACATTACTACAATTTGATGGCAATACCAACATGTCCTCAACACATACATTTAGAAGTAGAAAATATGCAAATTGATGCGATATGTTTTAAACCTCTTTCCGAGCAAAGAAAGACTTGTCATTGTTAAGTAAGTTTATGCTTATATTGTAGAAATCCTAAACACACTACTCAACATTATCCAAAGAAGTGATGAAACCACAAAATAAGGAGTACAGTTGACAAAATAGAGAATGTATTAGAAAACAAATTTATCCAACTACAATAGGGACCGTGTGGCTAGAATCTTATACAATTTCTTATAAAGGTCCTATCCTTTCTTTAGAATCCTCTCTTTATTTTATAATAGATGTATATTTAAGACCCAATAATTATAAAGCCTTTGCCTTGATAGATTCAAGAGTCTTAGCTTGTGACGTAGAATTTGTTAAAAGTCCTAAAATACTATTAGTACAAAAAACTAAACATGTTCATATAGAAGTCATAGATAATCATTTGTTGTCTTTAGGAGATATTACTTCTAAAATACTTCCTATAGATGTAATAATAATTGGTCATAGTAGTTGCATAATCTTTAATATAATAAGATCTCGTTCTAGTCTAATCATTTTAGGTTTATCGTGGTTGGAGAAGTATAATCCTTGTATAAATTGGATTTCTCATACTCTTAACTTCTTTAAAAGTATAATTAAGAGTGAAATTAATCTAGTAAAAAGTCATAAGACTAGCACAATAAAACTTGTGTTTGTAGATACAAGAACTTTCTTCCATGCTACAAAAGAAGGATCACCTTGTGTCATTTATGTCACACCTACTTCTAATGATGCAAAGACTTCAAGTGGCATTCCCAACCAATATCAAGAGTTTCAAGATGTATTTGAAAAGAAGAATGTGGATACTCTTCCACAACTTTGTTCCTATGACTAGTCAATTGACCTTCAAGAAGGAGCACAATCGCCATTTGAACCAATCTATAGTTTATTATAAAATGAATTAGCTGAACTCAAGGAATATATTGAAGAGAATCTAGCCAAGAATTTCATACACCATTTCAAATTGCGA